GGGGGGCGGGGGGGGAATAAAATATAGTTTCCTTTTTCAGTATCAGCCTCAGAGTTCAGGCTTGCTCTTTGCACGTGTCTGAGAAAGCTTCACTTCCATCGTTTTCCTCCGTCTCATGTGCTACTTGTCTCCAGCAACGGGCCCCCCACATTATAAAGAGCTCTCAAGCCCGAGTCGCTCTGGTCAATTCATAGCCACAGGGCGGCTGTGGAGCAGATAAGCCTCTTCTGCTCCAAATGTCTGCTTTCCAATGTTTTGAAACAAAAAGTTAGTAGATAAACATCTGTCAGTGAAAGTAATCATTTAGGCTTCTTCCAAGAGAAAGGAGAGCAATGGGATGAAGTTAAATACTCAGCAGTTTTGCCAAGGAACACATTTAACCAAAAAAAAAAAAAAGAAAGGAACAGGAGGACAACCCGTTCCTCCGAAGAGCTCCAGATTCACTAAGAGGCTCCTTCGCTCAAGGGCGAGCGAGCCCCCCGGGCCCCTTCCCTTCCCTGCTGGGCTAAGGCTGTCTCTCTTCTTTGCTTGTCTCTTTTCAGCGTCCTTCAGCAAAATCTCGTGAGGGGAGTGAAGAGGAAAAACAGTTCAGGAATATTTTCCGACAGATTGCGGGGGATGTGAGTATGCAACTGATCCCTGCCTCTGCCGTCGAAGCAGCCTAGCCACAAGAGCACCTAAGTCAACTGCGTCACAGATTCAAAACACTGAATTTTAAAATTTCCTTTGAACTTCCTTCCATCAAATTTCCTTTGAGATCTGAAGCTAAGCAAAATCAAATCAAAATCCAATTAAGTATACAGCTATCCTCATATGTACATATAAGCTGTTCCCACTGCATACAAGGGAGCCTTATTTAAATTCAGGCTTTTACTTCTATCACTACTACAAGATGCTATTTTGCATACTGTGTATAAACAGGTTAGAAATACAATGCCCTCCAGTATATGCTTAACGAGGGAAGTTAAAAGTAAAAACAGATCAAAGAACTGCATAAATCAAGAGGCTGCAAATGGTTTATAGCGATTTTTGGCTTATACAGTGGCTTGGAATTACTAGTCGTTCTTCTAGTTGTAGTTTAATAAGCACTATACAGTAACTTTACACCTACCTTGTACTGCAGCCTCAAGAAAGATTTGGACTAATGTTTATATGAACTAGAATGCTCTCTAGTTTGAAGCATGTATATGTCATACTGAGAAGTGGCCAAAGACTTCATACTTCTAGCATATCCATCCATAAAATGATCTGCTTAATAGGAATGTTGTAATTAATGATATTCTCACCACATTTCCCACCAGGACATGGAGATCAATGCTGAAGAACTCAGGAATGTTCTCAATAACGTCGTAAAAAAACGTGAGTTTGAGCATGTTTTTCAGTAAACCTGGACAAAGAAATCTGTGATATAACGTAACCCTCCACCCCTGAATTGCACTCTAAAAATTAGTTATGGTTTCAGGCTCACGAAGTTCCTAGTTACACTTCCATGGACTTTGCATTTGAGACTTTATCAAGCTGAACTTTTCATAGAGATGCTCTCTACGAGTGATCAAGTACTGATAACACAAAAATGAACAGATGTTCACTGGAAGCACCAGACAGGATAATATAGCATTTCTAGCAGTCTGCAAATGACCTTTAAAAAAAAAAAAAATTCTAATGGAGAGGCAGACCTTTCTCCCTGTTCAGCAAACTTTAGCCTACAGACCCTGGGCTTGCTTAGTTACCTGGAAGTCAGTTTAGAGTTTTCCAGAGGTTTTTATTGCATATAACAGGTCAAGAAAAGTGATCTCTAATTCACAAGCAATAACATTACTTAGAGTCTTTTCAGATTTCTCTAACACTCATTTCTTACTGGATGAAAGAAGTAGGTTTGGCTTCTACTTTGAGTAGAGTTACACCTAAGAGGAAGAAGCACTTGCTGACATCTGTTTTCACCTGGGATCATTTATTTCAGATAAGGACCTAAAGACAGAAGGATTTGAACTGGAATCCTGCCGCAGCATGATTGCTTTAATGGATGTATCCTTTTCTGGTGAAAGAGGAGTGCTTGATACCACACGAGTCCACTTGGGTTGTATTTCCCACCACTACACACACACACACACAACTTAGTAAGCCAGGGAAGCAGAACAGTACATATAGTCCGTAGTCAGAGAACACAGCATTCCTGGTTTGGCACATCTTAACCCCAGTCATCTCAACATTAGCGTAGTTGGCAGATTAAAATATCCCAAAAGAGAAAACTACAGAATAAATAGGTCAGTATGATGCCCTTCCTTAGGCATCAGCAACTGGCCAGCTCACGTACTAAAGCATGATTTTTTAAAATTTTTTTTTTAAAACCAATTCAACATAACTACAGTTCTTGCCAACCAACTTACTATATTACTCCTTATCTTTAAGTTTATAATGTATTATACATTCCACTGTATGCTTAGCATGCAACACATACAGGAATTGTCTCAGATCAAGTACAATAAAACACACTACAAGATGCATATGGAGTTACTTCTGATACAACATCACTCAGTTTTCCTATTTGACATAACACATGATTTTGAGAGAACATAAGCGCATTCAAATATAACCAGAACAAAATTTTAACTACAACCCAGAACCATAATGGTTGGAGCCTAAACACGTTTTTGTAAATGGCTTTAGTCAACATTTTGCTTAGTTCTCAATTCATTTTAAGCAAGGCAGAAAGAGCTTCACTCTAGAATAAAGCTCAGTTGTCTTAAAAACGTTGGGTAAGCTTCACATCTGGAGGTATTTGGAAAGAGTCCTCTAAAACATCCTGCTCCTGTACTTTATCATAGCTCCAGCAGCAAGCCTCTCTCCTGTACCAGATGTTTGCTTCTACACAAAGTACAAATAGTACTTCACGCTCCTGAAACAAAATACTATGCACTATAACCAAAATGTTCACAAATATTTTACTGTGCAGCTCAGCCAGCCCTTAATGCTGAGGAGATCCTGAACTCAGTTTCACATTCATCCCTTCACCAGTAGCTGCAGACTTAATTAATTTGCTCTTAAAAATATTGTGGTTTTTTTACCTGAATGCTTGCACCACAGACAGACGGCTCAGGGAAGATAAACTTTGATGAATTTCGACATCTCTGGGACAAGATTAAAAGCTGGCAGGTATTTCTGGTATCCACAGCGCTGTTCTTCACAGTTTCTCCAGCACAAAAGCTTGTGTAGGAAAACCAGACCACTCTACATACACTACAACAAAAAGAAAAGCTAAAAAAATTGCAAATTAGCTTCTAAAAAGAAAAGTAATGTCTCTCCTCATCCCACTCACAGCCTAAGCAAACAGCCTGAATCTCTGAAGCTCCAGCACTCATGTAAGAACTTCCCCCATGAGAATAGCACGGAGGTATACTAATTGGAGGAGGAGGAGGGTGATGGGAACTAGAATCAGGCCTTGCAAATAGCTTAATTAGGACAATCAAGAGAGAGGATTAACAGCATAAATTCAAGTCAAACAAGGAGAGTCTCTAGGGAGGATCTTTTTGCTTCTCACAGCACGGATCTAAATTATTTTACTTTATGACTGAGAGAAGCCCTGTGCGTTAACAACCCAGACTGCCCAGGAGCAGCGATACAAGGCAAATGGCAAAGCCTCCGAGGGCCTGAGGCACACATCCCATACCCACTCAGTGGGTACATTCAACAGAATTACAAGCTTTTATTCCTGTTGTGTATTTATTTTTTTCTTTTTCCAGAAAATTTTCAAGCGTTATGACACGGATCATTCGGGAACCATTAACAGCTACGAGATGCGCAATGCAGTTAATGATGCAGGTACTTCTCCTAGTGCTCAATGCCCAAAGAAACCTTTCTTTGGTTGATCTATCACAGGGTGAAATCAGGAACACAGTGCAGCCTTTTAAAAAAAGACCCGCAGGTACTTCTCCTAGTGCTCAATGCCCAAAGAAACCTTTCTTTGGTTGATCTATCACAGGGTGAAATCAGGAACACAGTGAAGCCTTTTAAAAAAAGACTGTACAGAAATTCAAAAATCCTTTTTTCCCCAACAGAGCTTCTCAAATATCCAAACGGCAAGTCTCGTATATCTTGCCAACAAGATCTCTTCAGCTCTTTAAACTTTTGAATGAATGATGCTCTGCTGTCTTAACAATCTCCCACTCGGCGTCCTGCTGTTCAGGGGGTCCAGTAAGCCCTGAAGATACTTGTTTTCATTTAAGCTGTGGATTCTTTATGTTTGTCTAAGTAACAAGCAAGAACAGTAGAAAACCTTCAACCCAAGTGTACGGGCACTGAAACCGAGGCAGAGCAGGTCAATGTCCAAGTTTGCATCAGAGGCAAGGGCATGGACACTTCTTGAGTCCTGCTCATGTTTCCTAGTGGCGCTAAGCCACTGCGGGCTCTAGTGGCAGTAGAGAAGAAAGACCTTTGCAAAAGTTGCAATTAATGGCATTTGTCCTGCAAAGAGGGGCTTTTGACTTTTCTTGCTTCTTCTCTCACGCACATTGGTGTGCTGCTTTCCCTGGACAGCAGGCCTCCCCCAGCAAATGTCCTTACCAGCTGCTGTTTCTCTAAGGGAGCAAGATGGCATCTTTGATCAGAAAATCTGTAGCATCACTATAAACCTAAATGTGATCATTTCAGTGACACTTCATCTTCAGTAGTATTTTGGCACATCCGTTACCAGTTCATCAAGGAACAGAAACAGATGGCTACCTGGTACTTTACAAAACATCAGTGATTCGATCCTTTGCTAAGGACAAAACTACACCTGGATTTGGCCTCCTGCTACAGTAGAAATACGGGTCATTTTTATTTTCCAGGTTTCCATTCTCACCAGGAAAGTTGTCAGTGTAAAAAAAAAAAAAATATCATTTAAACACCTCCCGCCCTGACTTTAGAACTAAGAACACATTTTGCAATAAAAATTTCTCAGTCTTGCAGCACGTAGGCTGGGCACGACCTTGCATTTAGCCAACAACCTGCAGTACCCAAATCACGACAGACCCTTTATCGGCGCCAGCCAGTGCCACAGTTCGGTAACGCCACGCCGAGGAGTTACCTCCTCGTCTATTTTTTGACCGTTGTGTAATTGTTTTCATAGCAACTTCCTCCTATGTTTCTGTCGCCCAGTTTTTGTTGTTTTGCTCTTAGCAGGCTCAGCTAAGCTGCAAACTCTTTGGTGGAGGCCCCTCCTCTTCGTATTTACAGCGTGAGGTAACTCACGTGCTATTGGCCCTCCCAAATCCTAATTTCAAAATGCCAGTTCTGTTTTAAGAAAGCAGCTGGACACAGGGAAGCTCCTTATAGCTTTACTTCATTTCATTTAGCGGCTGCAGCAGCACCCTCCAGCCTGGGCCTTGGCCGGGCCCGGGAAGCCCCTGTGGCCAAACCTCTCCCGGAGGCCTGACGGGCACCAGCTTCCCCCCAGCCACGGCCCAGCTGTGCCCCATTTCTGGTCCTCTGCAGGGTTTCGGCTGAACAACCAGCTCTACGACATCATCACCATGCGCTACGCCGACAAGAACATGAACATCGACTTTGACAGCTTCATCTGCTGCTTCGTGCGCCTGGACGCCATGTTCAGTGAGTGGCTGCCCCGGTTTTACTGCGCTGCCTCCCCTCCTCGCCCCCAAAACGCGCTGTTGTACTCAAAGCACTACTGCCTACATACAGTTTTAATAATTTACGTGCTTCGGAAATCTAAAGTATGACAGCTGTCCCACACAAACACGAAAGAAAATAAGCCATTGCATTTCTCTTTGTATTAGCTAAGGAAAAACATAGCTGAAACCCTTGCTGACCATGTAAGTAAATAACCGCACAAGTTTGCACAACACAGCAGGAGCACAATTTGGTTTGCTATCTGGGATCATCTTTTCACACACAGTAATTTAATCTACTCTATATACTTCTGTTTCGTTGCTGTAGGGGCATTCCACGCCTTTGATAAAGATGGAGACGGCATCATCAAGCTCAATGTCCTGGAGGTAAACTGGTTTATGCCAGTATTTCTAACACAAAGTCACAATACTAAATTTGATTTGTATTATTCATTGCACACGTTCTCAAGGGAGCCTATGAGAGTTGGTCTGAAATTGTCATCCAAGCGGGAAGAGTCCACAAAAACTCCTAAAAATTTTGCTACCTATTTTACACAGAAAACACCTGTATCTATGATCTGCCAGCAACAGCTGCTCTGTAAGACTCCAGTTGGTGCTGAAGGGCACAGCCGCGGACTCTTCATATCACCTTTAAAGTGCTTTAAAAAAACTTTGAGGGTTTTTTTTAATGAGGCAATTTAAATCAAACATACTTTAGTTTAAAGGCATTAACCGATAGCGGAGTTTAACATAGTCCTTTACCTTTTTTTAAATCTTATTAAGACGACTTAGAAAGTTTCAACTTCAAAGCATGTCTTCTGCTATGGAGACCACAAAAAACCCCCTTCACCTTTTGCAAGGGAAGGAGGAATAGGAGCAAGAAGCCTAAGACAAAGTTCCCCACTGCAAGTACGCTTCATACTAAGTATCAGCAAGCAGCTGCCTTCCAGCTGCAGAGACAGTGATGTCTCAATACAATTTGTTGGAGGATGTCAACAAGTTTAACTCATCCTTTAATTGTAACTCTTCTTTCAGTGGCTGCAGCTCACAATGTACGCCTAACACTGGAGCCAGTGCCCACCTTCATCAAGAAAACACTCAAGACTTCTGTTTTGAGTAACTAGCTCCATTCATCCCCAAGTGCAAACAAGAGCAGTTCCTAATTACGTGCTTCACTCACCAAGATAAAGAGTGCATGGGAAGAATCCCCTGGAAAAAGAGGCAACCATACTCCAGTAGGCAGATCAGTGCGCATATTCTGTAACTACTTTTATAACTTCCTGACATTTTCCTTTGGGCAACAAGGATTAATTTATTGATGACTGAATTAAGCTTTATCTGCATGGTAAAGACATGGACCATGCATTGTTATTCTGCTTGCACTGACAACTGGAAACGTCTTCCCTCAAGTCAGGCAAAACTGGGACTGTATTTGAACTGTGAAAGTCAGAGGTGTTTACTACCACCTTGTAATTAGTCATTAACTCTTTGTCCTGCTTTTCATACTATCATTTCAGCCTCTTCACAAGGTGGACTGAATACTTCATATGAGATTGTGCTAGATTACATTAATATTATGCACCCCAACCGCTTACGTTGTTACAGATGTGGCTGCGCAGGTTGGTTCTGTGCTATGCTAGAAACGTGGGTGTAAGGTACAACAGACTGCACATCTTGGTCTAGTGCCCCAGCAAAAGTATCAGAACTGAGCAATTTGCTCTCATTTTTAGTACCCCCATAGTATCTTAATTACACATTGGACATTTTAAATGTTTTTTATTGTAACTGCATTCTCTGTAACATTGAGAAAGTTGTTTGCCATTCAAGACAGAAAACCTCTTATATATACAAATATATGTATCTACAGACCCACTTCCCTCCCCACGCCCAGGGTCCTATTTCCTGACAGTATTGTGTATTTCTTTATTGTAAGAGGTGACTTGTAGCAGAATCAGACACTGTTGACATAACCACTTTGGGAAGATAATTAGAATGTGTAAGTACAATTAGTTTAATTGAACCAAAAATAAAATCAACTGGATTTTGGCCTAATCTTTAGAGTTGCTTTTTGGTTTTATTTTGAAAGAACAGGGGAGGATGAAATATTGAGCACTCTTCCATCATTCCCCTGAACATACAGCAGCTTTTGGAGTTTTATGGCAAGCATGAAATCAGCTTAATATCTCAAACACTTGCCAGTTTGCTCCTTGAATGCATTAAAAATAAAAAAGCACTTGAGCTTGAGAGCTCCATTGCTACCAGCTTTAAGGATGATAGGCTTTCAGAACTGGTGAATCGTTGATCAATATAAAAATGGAAGGAAAAACAAAATGTGCAGGAAGAGGTGTGAAGAGACCAGACTATGTCAGAAGAACCTTCTACTTAGTTCTCTACTGGTGAAAAGTAACAAAGCAATCCACTATTGCAAAGCAAAACTGTAAAAATAAATCGTAGCATCCACTCAAAGTTATTCTGGTAAGTAGCACGTTTAACTGAAAAGTCACTAAGAAACAGAAAACCTTTTGACTATAAAGTTCTTGATGTTGTCCTGCACTGTAACTTACTCTGAAAGAGCAAGAAAATCCTATAGTTTATCTAAAGAAGAGTTACTCTCCTTTAAATTCAACTGTTGTTTTAACCCAAAGCAAGTTTTTAAGATGACTGGAACAGCAGGAGCCCTGGGCTCCAGCCATGTGTTCTCTCCACTAAGCTATTATTTTCCATACAAAAATATGCTCTTGGTTAAGGTGTTCAGAGAAAAACAAAATCTATCAGTCAAAAGATCAAAATCAGGATTTTGGATTGGCAACTCAAAACTGGTCCTTAAAGTCCTGTAGCTCTAAAGAACTTCCCTTTGCAACGGGCCACGAAGCAAGGGAGTCAGTACCTCATCTTGGCGGCACCAGTGGGGTGGACAGTTTCCGTT